AGCCTGTGTCCTCTGGCCATCAGGCACAAACTACAATAGGACAGATTTTCTTTTGAAAAGTGACAACATCTAGGGAAACAGTTAACTGGCTTAACTTAATCTCTAATCGTGATATAAAACCTAGTCTTCTACCTCGTAAAAAATCAGATTCCAGGGAATTTCATGTAAAGTGGACACAAAGCAGCATAACAGCAAAATGCTATGTGATTGTGATGATTTGGTAATAAATGGCTAGCAGATAGTGTAGAGTATCTGTAGCAGAGCTTTTCACTGAAAACAGCTGCTTGCTGTTTTGATAAATGAGCCTGATGAGAGCCTTAGACTGGAAATTTGCAGACCACAGACTCAGTTTTATAAGTTGAAAGATGCTAAGGCTTTAGCACAGAGCTGAAGGGAATTGCAAGATTAGTGGAAAATTATTTGCGGGTTCTTCTCTATAAGTACAGCAGCACACATTTCAAGTATTTCAACCAGCTGTCTGAAAAACAGAATCGTCAGTTCAGCTTAGGAGAATGTCAGTGGTGTTTATAAAAGCAATTTGTTGTGAGTGGCCACTATATAATACGTGCAAAAAATACATTCAAGTTACAGGCTTTGATAAACACAAATACTCTATTTTACAGCAGTCATATTTCATTGTTTCTTCTTCCAATATCATCTAACATGTATACATTTAAACAGGGAAAACCTGCTGTAACATAAAGGGTAGGAGGAGTAAGACAGTTTAGACAGTGTTAGGACATAAAATCTACCCACTGCACCGCCCCGCTTCCCCTCCCCTCACATTTACTACTCTTTGCATGCAAGTTCTCCACTCCACCACTACCCTCCTCCCTTATCCCTCCCTTTCTCCTCCCTCCCCAAGGCCAGAGGAGTGATCAACCTTTAAACAAACCAGAGAGCCAGCAGAGCAGAGCAGAGCTCGCACACCCTCACACACAGACATACAGCTGCCGAGGAAAGTCTGGTGAGCTGTAGCAAAGAGCAAAACTGAGGTAGGTTTTTTGCAGCTGTGGGTGAAGATGACCTCATCGTTGTGTTTCTTAGCAGCTGTAAATCAGATCTGGCTCAAAGAAATGAATGCTTTTTTTCTGTTCTTCTCAGTTCTTTGAAACAATGTAGCTGTTTTCAGTCTGAACTTTTGCTTAGAATCAAGTTTGCTGTGTCAGTTTTTGTTAGATATTAAATTTTCCCCTAATTATCCTCCACAGACAGTCATCTCAATTGAGCTTCAGCAGATCTTTGAAGAGTTTAACAGTGTGTTTGCATTTTATTCACTTTGTATTTTCAGACAGAAGCTGGCGTGAAGTTGGTACCTGGAAAGCAGACCTTACTGAGCATCCTATCTCGGGACGTAGCTGAAGGAGTGGTAATAACACAGACCAGTCCTTTGCAACCCCTTTCAAACTTTCACCTCTTAACTCCTGTCCATCAGTCCCCACCCCCTCCAGCAAAACTCTCAGATCACTGACTGAGGCAGACAGTCACCAGGGAGTCATTAACTTGCAGACTATCTGGCCTGTTCCCCAAGGGTCAGCAGTAGTGGCATCTGTGCCAATGGAAGCCCCAGCGATGGGTGACATGGGAGAAGTGTGCTGCCCACGATCTTGCTCTCCAGAGGGCGAGACTGTGTGTGCAGCACTAGCCCGTTATGAGAACACTCTAAGGGATGCCATCAGGGAGATCCATGTGGATGTGAGTACTTTTAAACTGGGTATGGAGCGTCGTCTGGAGGAGACGAACAACTTGAGTGGGCCCCTCGGACGAGCCGTGGTTCATCTCCAGCAGGAGAATCGGCAGCTCAGGAATCAGCTGGATTCTTTGACTCGACAGGTGGAGCTCCTCAGTGGCATTACATGTGACAGGAACACCTTGCTGAACAACAACCACCACACACATGCCCAAAACCACAAGAACCATCTAGATGACATTGAGGAGAATCACCATGAGATAAAGGAGGTGATCTACGGAAAAGGTGAGGCTCACACGCAGAGTCAGGCTCATCTACACATGCAGACCTCCACCTTGGGAAGCCAAGCCCAGACCTACAGCAGCCTCAGCAATCAGACTATCCCTGCATCCCCCCCTGCCACTTTTTCATCCTCCTCCACCTCCAGTAGTCCTCCAGCTGGCTCCAGAGTTTCCTCCATGGTGACAAGCCCAGTGTCTGGGAGCAGCCCCTCCATCACCCGCTTCTCCAGCCGAGCCACTTTTGCTGTGTCCAACAAGACCAATGTGAGTACTTCATAGAGCAGAAATCCATTCATGAAGAGTTCTTTAGTGGTTCAGAGGTTTTTGATGTCTGGAGTAACCATCAGCAACCTGTCAGGGAATATAAATTTTTCCGTTTCTACCTGTCTTATGTGCCTCTGTTACCTTAAAATGTTGTGCTAACTTAGCTAACTGCTAGCTGCCATTAGCATATATTAGCAGATACATTTATATAGATGGTTATATATCTGTAGTTCACAATTTCAGTTTATCTGTTATATTATTGGTAATAATTGAAACTGTAGACACATTTAAATATCTTAGTTTTATAATTACATTTGGCTAAATATAGAGTTTTAATTTAGCTAGCAGTTAAATTGTTGTAATATTACTGCAATATATACTGTTTCTTTAACTTTTTAATTGTTCCTTAAAAAGTTTCTTGATTGTTCCCTGGCAGTAACCTGACTGAAAATCATTGCTTTAGCCTGCAAGGGAAGAAATGTTACACTCTTTCAAGGAATCTATTCCAAAAAAATGTACACTTGATGCCCTCCAGGGTTCTTGTAGAAGCTCTTCGCATATTTTTATCTACTCTCTAGTTTACAGTTCAGATTTGTCATGTACTTTGTAACATGAATGGAAATTTAGTATAGTGCAACTGCAAAGTAGCAGTAGTTGCAATGGCCACAGTGGTAAAGACGCAGATTTATGAGTTTAAATGAAGCAATGTTGCATTGTGGGGGTGTAGATGTGTCATACGAGGCACTGGCTATGTCACTGTGGTTGCACAATAGCCCTCTGCCAGGATACTTAAGGATTTATGAAGTGCAGTAACATGAGTCAAGAAGGCTCCTGGGAGGTGAGGTTAGTGCGGTTGTGTGGTTTTTCAGACCTGTACCACATATTTGAAGTCAGCATTGTGAAATGTCGGCTCTGGTTAGTCATTATTGCCTTAGTCCTGCATGTACCACGTTTATCCAGTTTTGATTTGATTTTCATGTCTTAGCTTCACCTGAATGATTACATAGTTCTCCTTTGGTCTTGTGAAAGTCGTTTGAAACTCTAATGACTGCATCCAGAAACTGGTGGGTGAAGCTAACAAAACAAGCTTGTTCTCTTAGTTTCTGTAAAGCTGATATTTTTCCAGATGCCAAGAATGTTTTAGAGCTGGTTTCATGATGTGTCCATATGAGTTACATCACAATCATCATCATCATCAACTTTATTGATGACAATACATCACTGAGTCTGTGAGTCAGAGTTATAGTGTTTTGTTCTTTCTGAGCTATTCCCAGTTATTTTAAGTTCAACTTGGGATGCAGTTCATGAAAGTATGTCTTCTGTCTTATGACTGTTCTTAACCATTTACATCAGCTGGTTTTGTTTTCCTCCTTGGCTTGTTTTGCCTCTGATGAAACCAAAAGAGAATCTCCTGGCTTTTATCCATCCTGTGGTTTCTGCATCACTCAGCCGGTTGATGATGAGCGTGTGGTTTTCCTGGCCTTGTCCTCATGATAAATTTATGGGTTCCTTAGAGAAATAAGGAAACTTTCTAAATATTTAGGCTAGACAGCAGCTTAAGATGATCAAGATGCTTTTTAATGTCTTCCCATTCCTAGGCGATTGAGTGGTTTGGAGTACTGATTATACCCTTCAAGTATTTGCAATTTCAGAGCGATAGAATTAAATGGAACTTGAGAATATTAAATATTTTAGGCATGCATCAATCTTACCTATGACCCCCAACTTATCCCAGCTGAGAGTGAGTGAGATACACAAGTATCAAAACCTAAACTTGTTCAATGTGCTTACATTTATGTGATTGTATAGTATATTATTAAAATCTTGGTTCTATTTTTTTCATTTTCTATGCCAAAGATTTTTGCAGAGCAGATGTTCGCTTTGCTGAACTCAATGACCACCATTGTGAGTCCATCAACAGTAGATAATATGTGAAGTCACATGTCAAGCTGTTACTAGTACTTTAAAGTGACATTGGGAAACTTGTATGGCAGGAGGAGGTCCTGAGAAGACACACCATAAAGTTGTGGAAAGTGTGACAATCATGAGTTTAGTATTAAGTCTGCTTTTTATTCAGAGCAGGGAAGCTCCCGAATTTAGCCTTTCCTGTGCACTCAGCGCTGACACAAAGCTGGGAGATACACATACCATCATGGGAAGTAGTAAACACATTGTATGGAAACGGCTGACATAACTAGTCAGCCTTTTGAAAAACTGGTTATTTACATCCAAGTAATTAGAATTCCAGGTTATGTCAACTGGACTGGCATTCAGATAGTTTTAATGACTCACTCAATGCAGTTACACTACACCACATTAACACACATGATCATAAAGTATTTATCTCACTCCTATGAACATATGAGAGGAACTCCTTAAACATAGACATGGACATGCAGCATCCAAAATGGTAGTCAGTGAAATTAAATATTTATATTATTATTTTATTAATGTCCAACAGAAGTTAGATGTTGGCTTTATCAATGGAGCTATCCACCACCAGCTAGCACCTTACTGCTTTGCTGGCTTCTTACTACTAGTACTTGAAAAGAAAGCTGCTGGTGTTACCTCTGCTAACTTTAACCACATTCAGCAAGTTAGCATTGCGCATGTGCCATCTACTGCATGTTGAAAAGTGCCACACATACTGTAGCATTTAAAATACGATTTGGTTCACAAAGAATGTCATTGACAGCTTCAGAAATACACATGCACATCAATCAGACTTGTCTGATCTTTTTTCTTCCTTTTAAATAGGCCAGAGCATCACTAATTTGAACCTCTCACATCTTTGGGGTCTGGTTTTCTCCTTGCTATTCTAGTATGTCATCTTGCCAAGATCTAAAATGCTAGATAGAAAAGGTGGATGTAGAGTTTTTTTTAAGTAAGGAAGGACTTGACCACCAAATTAAGAGTAAATAGTTTCTCCAAAATGCCCCAGATTTCATTGTAGGATTTACAATGTGTTTCAATGGCTTTTAGTGTCAAAGAGCACTATATTTCTATATATTTATATCTCCTTACAAAACAAATAACTAATGAACAATTAGCTGGAGAGCAGGCCTTTTGAAATAATTTAGTCTGTGTTGACAGACACACTGTGCAAATATTTTGTGAGAACCAAAGACAGCTTTGGGTCCTCATACCAACTGTGATGCACAGTGGTCTTAAGAAGTCTTGCAAATCCACCACGGAATGTCTCAAAAGAAATGCAGCATTATGGAAGGAGCTCCATTGATGTGTTGCTGGGGAAACAGGCAGTACATGCAAGACAAGCATCTTGCATTTTTGCCTCGAAGGGTCATCAGAAATTACCCACAAGCAATTTATTTCTGCTAAATGGGCACTGCTAGCTTTTGAAGCCATGGGTGCACCTATACATGATTACATCTGTTGATGATATGGTATTCATGCAGAGTTACAAGTCTTACAAAAACGTTAAAAGCACTTGCACACTTTATGGTAATAGCTGTTGCTCCTGTATCCATGATTACCAAACTATGTCGTGGATACAACAGAAGAATGTTATCTTCTGTGAAATCATGTGGTCAGAGCTAAACAACACAAGGGCACCTTTGTTTCTGTGTATCTCTGCTGTGGGAGATCCCCCACTGTCAGCCACACACAGCAGAATAATGCATGTGTTCACAGAGGTTGGCTGTGTGTGCTCTGTGTTGTGGTAATTAGCTTCATGGCTGCTGTTTGAAATCATAATTGCAGCTCGCTCAGGTGCCACATCCTCACCTGGCTGTCAAGGTGAAAATACAAAGACTGCAGGCATACTTAACAGCTCGTGTCCAGGCTGAAGCTATCTGCAGCCAGAGAGATGTGTACAGGCGTGTCGTCTTCCATCCTGCTCTCCAGCTATTACTCCTCACCATCAATGTACATGCCAAGCGGTCACAAGCGGACACACGCACCTGTGTGCACACATTTCACCTTCTCTCTGGCAGTGAAGTGAAAGCACCTGCAGCATTTATCTGTGAGTGAGTTATGAGCGTCATTATTCATGATCAGTCTCTTTTTTTTCGCTGTGGTCTCCTTTCTCTTTAAAGAAGAAGCTGAGTGGAAATGTACTTTATGTATTTTTATTTTCACTGAGGTTATTAGTCATGTCCATCTGCCTCATCAAGATGATCATAACTGTGTATATGAGAAGTTCTGATTAAGTTCGGTGAAATTTGTTTAAAATGGAAACACATTTGTGTGTGTGTGTGTGTGTGTGTGTGTGTGTGTGTGTG